CACTTCTGGCTCATTAGACGTCATCAGCCAATCATACCCAACTCCAAGTGGTTCCACACCCGAGGGTCGACCCTGCGACGTTTTGATCAGAGTCTAACGTTCCAACCAATGAGCCACGGGCTCATTGTGTTGCCGGTTTAGATCGGGAGATATTGACACACGTTGGTTAACGTTCACCGATCGATAACGGAACTCACTCTTCCCGCTCTGCCTCGGGGCGGGTGGTGCACCAATTGGGACTGCGTATGACTGGCTGATGAGCCAGAAATAACCATTCCTGTCTCCCTTGTCCTTGCCGGCAATGCTATTTGCCTAGACAACTAACCGTTGTGCAGCTGCTTGCGGAGCTCGAGAATGAGCTCCAAGACCGAGCGGAACGAGTGAATTCCGTTAGCAATCGGTGCACGGTTACCAAAGAGTCTTAGCCTCTTCATAGTTTAACGAACATATTGCAGACTGCCCATTTCACCAAAATAACGTTAAACCTGGGACAATAATGATCCTGTTTTTTGTTACTTCAACACAACTCCCAAGCAGGCGATGTGTAGTGTCCCGCCAAGTGGTCAGACACTTCGGGCTTTTTTGTACGTACTGAACTAGCCGATAGGAGCCAATGTTTGCCCTTTTTAAGGCTTTTAACCCTTTGACTGAATCCTCAGGCTGTAAAGTTATTCCAAAGCCTAAACCGATGCCAACTTCAAGATAGAGTACCGACTTCTCAGTGTAGTGCTTAACTGCTGCAATCATGGACTCAGTTCCTTTCCAAACTCACGTCAGGATACGCGAATTCACTGTCCGGACAACTCACATTTCATTGGAATACAAGTGAAAAAAATAACACTGACTGCCTATAGGAGGTGATTTCCTAGTCATGAGTTAAAGAACTTTATTTCTCTTTATTTCACACTTTGGGGGTCCTGCAAGAAATTCTTCTCATTTCGTTCCCCTTCACGCTCTAGGTCCACTCCTTGCGTAGCAGCTTCTTCAATCTCCTCAATAAGAGTGCCATTTTGTTGACAAACGAACAATTGGAGGACATTGTTCCCCTTGCATGGGAGTTGTTGCTAGAGGCCGACCCTGAGCTCACTTCCAGTGCAGGTAATTGAAATTTTGTCAGTTTTCCTTCGCCCCACTTCGCCCTGCATCTTCCTTGATTAGTTGTGTCTCGGCCTCATTTCAATAGATGTTTTTCAGGTACCGTCATACAGCCTCAAAAATCTTCACTAAAGACATGAACACCAACTGTCTTGTATTACTTCCGAGGAGGTTATTGCACGAACTCTGAGTAAATTCTTTTGAACAGAGCCTTCCAGGTTCGGTCCGAAACTTGATATGAATCTGGCTAAAACTGGAGTTTGTATGCCAGAGAACACGCGAGGTACGCTGGGAGACCCCCTGACGAGCCGGGCCCCTCGCGGAAGCGGCGAAACACACTTGTCTGGGCTTTTAACCAGTACCTGTGCTGTCAGTAGGGTAAATCCTTACGTAATGGACACTAACTAGTCGTCGCCATTGTGACAATCTGTGTGTGGATGTATACGGACACATCACACAAGACCTAAACAGACGAAGTCCCGAAGGCATTTGTCGGTTCAGCCGATATTCCTTTACTCATTTGCTGACTGGTGTCATTTGTCTTTTTCTGATTGTATGCGCAGCTGCGTATAACACACCGACATGACCGAGAGGAGGAGCAACAGAGAATGCGTTTTCGGACTACTTCGACTTTTATTTAACCAATCATAGCTCTGACTACCGGCTGGGACTAGAAAAAATAATAGGCGCGCTTATACGACGCAGATGTTCCACAGACATTTCCTAACAGACGCGTTATAAGTACGTCATCGAACCGAAGTGCATCAGTGTCTCGCCGCCAGTCAATCAATCTAAGCGCAGGTAAGGTACGTATTAACTCAAAGATGAGCGTGGACCGATCGTTTGGTCTTCAGAGGCAAACAAGCACTTAGTGGGTGACAAAGATCACGAACAGGCAACCAACTAGCAGATCGAGGGCGGTTACATCGATGCGTTACTGTTTCGGACTTATTCTGCTTTCATTCGGATAATCATAATTCTGACCATCGGCTGGGATCAGAAATAAAAATACGCCCCCGTGAAGCGGCAAGTAAAAAATAAAGTTTTGAAGTCCCTGCTCTCACCAAAAATCTATGCAAACCGAAAACGTTTTCCTATTTAGCATTCATTTAAGAAAGAGAAACTAGTTGGCAACATATATGCCTCATGATCTGTTTTAGTAGGTTTTTCGGTTGACTTACAAGGCACAGCAGAATCTTCGGCAGCTTTCAGAAGTTTCTGTCGATAAGATTTTTCGGCAAAACGACCAATATTAACAGGTGTCCATTAATAATGTGAAAATGACGCATTTAATTCGAGTTTTCTTGTCATCATGATGGTGTTAATAGGGGATTACTACGAAAAACGGCATCAGAAGCTTATCATACAAATGCAAACAGAGGGTACGAGGAACAATGAGAGGCAGGCCGCAAGCCTTTAACCCTAATCCGGAGAGTAACTTAACTGAAAAATGCCTACTTAAATAAATATGGTAAGGAATCCTGCATATGAAACTCACCCCGACTACGTACCATATTTCTGAGAAGGTTACCCCACGGCAATCGATCTAAACATGGCGGGTAATTGCATTTCCACAGTTGTAACAGTTGTCATAACTCTTCGGCTGCGATTTGGCTGAGGTGAAGATTAAGTTAGCCACCAATCTTTATTGTTCATACGACTCCTGCGATCGTCCCCGCCTGATCCTTACCTAAGAGAGGTTTTTCCGATCCTTTCAATTGTGAGTTTGCTCTCTAATATCAAGTTCTGTCGCCGAAAAATGCCCTTTTCGTAAATGGTGAGTAGTGGCTGATAGTACTAAGATCCCTGACGTAACATGCGGTGGTGTAGAATTACTACTGAGTCAGATAAAAAGGAAAATTCTTACATAAAAGGGGTAAGCATAGGATTTGGCATGACCGAGGCCGTTCGTTTCTGCAAGTTTTGAACGCATAATAGTATTTTATTTCCCAAGTTCGTTAGAGTTCAATGCATGCATTTATTTCCAGGGAAAACTTTGTAAGGATTGTGCGCAACTCATCATTCTACCTGTCATATAAAGATGGCATGGACAGCTACCTTCCCTTAAAAGGATAAAATCAAAAACAATTGCATACCGCACTGACGTGTACTGTTTCATTAGAAGCTAAAAAGGGGAGCCCACTTGAGTGGTACCTTATTTATTACCAGAAACTCTTGTTGTTTACATAGGGCATGGGTCTGGTAAGCGTTGTTGGAGCTCACAATTTCATGCTGGTCGTCTTCCCGTGAACCGTATTCTCTCAATGTCAAGCACATCAAATCTTCACGTAAAGGTTAGCATCCATCAAACGAGACCCTTTAGAATCATATCTTATAACTTGCCCTGCAATAAACTCGACGTACCACTCCGCACGTTGTCAGGTCATTTGTAAGCATGTGCAATTGCGGCAATTATGAAGATTTACGTACATGGTTACCGGTACCTGTTGGATTCGCCTTCATGCTTGTATTTGAAAGTAGTTTGATGTTTGCTATTGCCATTTATTTACATTTGTGTTCTTTCAAATTGCAAACCCATGGAAGGTTTAAGTACTGATATCTGATACTTTGCAGCTGAACTACCCATAGGTTAACGTTACGAGTTCAGTGTATTGAAACTATTGAACATATGTATAGGTTTAAAAGTCTAATGAATTTAGGTATAAACTAAATCCCCTATTAATCCAAAGGGGGTACTTAATTCAAGAATGATGAGAAAGTCAACGCTAATTTATCTCCTTTCATTCGATAGTCCTCATGGCCCTTCGTCTTCCCCAAATCCCCTGTTTTAGCCACTTTCATCCTGTTTGCTGCGGTGAAATGTCCAAATTTCGTGCAAAAACTCGTCTACACCGAACTGCATCACGTTGACGTCAACAACAGGCTGAATGCCGTGCTGAGGTAAGATCTAAGTTTCGGCATTTTGCTTTCAACCTGCGAATCGCATTCGCAATAACAGATGAGTTAAACAATAATGCACTTGCACCCATCGTTTTTACTTTCACCGAGAAAATTTGCATTTTTTCGGGCTCGACTAGTATCATATAACACATACATGAGAAATCAACAATTGTACTTTTTCTGATCATTTAAGAGAAATGAATTATATTTACATTCTGACTATGAGCTCATGTCCCGCCACTGCTGTGAAAAAAGCTTATAACTAAGCTCCTCGAACCGAAATTTAGTTTATGAGGTCTCCAACACCTTCTTAGCGGAAACTTTCTGACAATATCTTCTATGCTTACTATTCATTTTCAAGGCATTAAAGTTGAGAGACAAGAAGAAAAATAGCAGGTGCCTTCCTGATGATGTGCTCATATTCATCGTTTCATGAACAGCCGCTTCAGTTCGGTAAAAGGTTTGCTTCCTCTCTCTCTCTCGGCCGTTTATTATTCTCTCACCTTAATCCATAAAATAGCAAAGGCTCTTGAAGACACAAATGCTGTTTACTGTGTACTCAACGGCCCTTTGGCCTCTTCCCAAATTCCTATTCAAAAATCATCAACAATTTCGTCTTTTATGACATTTGTACGGGTTATTCAGTTGCACGGGTTCTACGGGTTATTCTTTCCAAAGCATCCCTTTCTACCAAAAGGAGGTAGAGGCTATGAAAACGGACTAATAACCTACGTCTTCTCTAGTCACTACGATCGTTTTCTGTTGTCTAATTCCATAAGTACTTTTTAGCATACAAAGGTCTTCGAAAACCGATATTTCCGTGGTCATTCATGAGTCCAAATGCAACACAGTGAACTAACTCAATTTTCTTAAATTGCCCTTTGAACCCCCACGAGGCAACGGGATTGCATACGCGGAATTTCTTAAGTGAAGGTTACACCCGATAAAAAATATATCTAGCGCAATGGACGAGTCAAAGGAGTTAGCTTTTATCAGTGAGTCACTTTATGGCATGATTTTAATTTGACTTTCTTCCCTAGCAAACTAGGTAGTTCCCTTAGTACCTTGATGCAAATCCCCTACTGGCTCGTCTTTCAAAGTATGCACTGCAGATTCGTGTATTTGTTGCGTCAGAAGCCCATCATAATCTTTCGGACCTGCAATGAGTGCCCCTATCAAAAATCTCCTGACCCACACTGCTAGTTCAGCAATTTTATCTCCCTCTCTGTGTATGTGCATTTTCTTTTTTCAGATTTCGGATTCTCTGGGTGAACCGACATCACGTCTGGTCACGCCTGGAGGAGGGAGCAGCACTCTGCTTTAAGCTGCCTCCGCCGTCTATCGAGTACGTCCTGCCTTCACCGACTCTTGGCAATCCCACCGTTGAGGTGCCGGACCCCGCCTGGAAGACACGGAAAGGCACTTCGGCCGAGGAGGTGCAGTTGAAACAAAACGAAGCCACTGTGAGTTTCCCAGCCGCAGGCATGTACATTTACCCTTTTTTGAGAAAAAAAAAACATGTTCTTTGGTCTAAAAAGGGTAAGTTTAATCAGTGAAATTTCGAGACTGGTTCCTCCGAAGACGAGCTGGGGAACCAGTCTTGAAAATGCACTGATTAAATTTACCCGTTTTTAATCCAAAAGAACATCTTTTTCTTAAAATTAAATTGCTTGAGCTGCATGATTTCTAGTTTATACGAATGAATTACATTTACCCTTCCGTGTTCATCATCCCCGGAAGAGGAAGAAGAAGACGGGGCCAAGTGCTGGGACCAAATTTTATTTGTGCTGACGTTTCAAAAGCTCACTCGCTTCCATCGTCAGAGTACCGT